AAATATATAATATTATCTTTATTTTAATGTAAAAATAAAAAATATTTATTAGTAAAACTTGAAAACTTTTATATAAAATTTATATTTTATATATTTAATTAATAAATTTTGCATTATTTCTGATTGTTACTATATAATTATTTTTAATTTTACTAATAAATATTTTTTATTTTTACATAAACTAAAAATAATATTATATATTTTAATATAGATTTTTTTAGATTTAATCTAATAAAGCTGTTCTAATTATATATAAAATCAATTATTTTTTTATAATAAAATATATAAAAAATAATTGGATTTATATACAATTAAAATAATTTCATTAGGTTAAATCTAAAAAATATGTAAAAATAAACACTTTTATATAAAAAGAAAAATTTACATTTTTACTATGTTTTATTATAAATTTGTTTTAGTATTCCATTCTTTTTTATTGCTATTACATGTTTAAATATGAATTATTATTTGTATTTTCAAATAAAATTAAAAATTTTGATTAATAAAATCGAAAACTTTTATATAAAAAGAAAAATTTATATTTTATTATTTTTATTAATAAATTTTGGTGTTGTTGTATTTTTTTTATTACTGTATTACATTTTTATTACAAATTAATTTGCTGATTTTTAAATTTTTAAAAGATAAAAAATTAAATAAATATATTCTTTAAATTTGATTTTAATTAATAAATTATTTTTATATACTTAAAATAAACAAATTTTTAAAAATAAAACATTATTGAATTAATTACTAAATTAAAATATAAATTGTTACTAATTATATAATATTTTCATATTCTTCCTGAACTCACATTTTTTATATATTAATAAATAAGTAAAAAAAGAAATTTTCTCTGTATTTGAAATTATTATTTTTATTAATAAAAAATATCAGATTATCAATTTGCATTTCTAGATTATATAAGCAATTTATAATTTATATATTTATATTGAATAAATAAAGCATAATACATGTATAAACGAATTTATAATTTATACATTTATGTTACTAATGCTATCGCTATTATCAAAGTATCAGGATTAAGCGTATAGTTTTAATTTATATACGATGTTATATATGGATATAGAATTTCTATGGATTCAGAATCATATCGATATACTGTAAATGAATTTAGAATCCTCCTAACACTAACCATTATCGTTACCTTTGCTCTAATTCTAGTCATACCTTTGAGTAAATTTTCTCATTTACAACATAACATGTATCACGTCCTGAACAATCTGTCCCGGTCTGGATCATATATGCAAGTAATTACATGTAAAAGGCTTCTATAAAAGGTTTCTTGATACATCAAATGACGTTATAAAAGCAGATCAGCTTCTTTATCTAAACAAAAAAGGTTTCTTTTAAGCGAAATATCGTCATAAATGCAGATCAGCTTCTTTTAATGTCTTAAAAAAATCCAAGTAATGAAGCAAAACTGTCGTTATAATAATCATACAAAATCAAATAATAAAAGTCTTCTTTTGATAGATAAGTCCGTTATAGTCCGGTTACAGTCATAGGACATATGACCCGCGACATATGTCGTAACTAGTTACGGCTTATGTCTGCACCCCTAGTCATAGAACTTGATATGTAGACGGACTGGCTCGGTCTTTATAAAGATCCTGCGACTTATATAGGACTGTGATCGGGACCGAGTCCGTTTAAATAAGGCAAATGCTAAGATAATTACTATATATCACAATTACTGAAACTGTGATTGCAACTTTTCACGATCATTTTCTCAAGTGTAACTTGATTTTGCTAACGTAATGAAAATACGAATAAATAGCATACAAGAAATTCGAGTCTAAAGTCATCTTGTTCGGATTATTCTAATTATGATAATTAGAATAAAATACAAACTTTGCAAGAAGAAACTAAAATATGATTAGTCAACTCTCTCTAAATTCACACACTATGTTTCTATTCTATAAATGCACACCTTGGTTCGGTCCCAAGTTAATAATATTACTAAGTAAAATGCTCTCTATAAATGCACTCTCAGGTTTGATTTTCATATGTCTCCCGGCAGTGTGCATTTAGAGAGTTGACTGTGATAAGACAATTTTATAAGAACCTTAACGTTAATAAAACGCCATATTTCTCGTGATTATAAATGGCCAATCAAATTAATAATTATTTATATTGCTATATTACAAAGGCTAATTTGGGACTGTCTCAATTAAGTTCCAAAAATTGGACTGAGTCTTTGGACTCAGTCTTAAAATTCACGGACCTGAACTTTACCATATTGATAAGATTTGAGTATCGTTATAAGAACAAATGACGAGTTAATAATCATAATCTATTTTTATATCAACTACAGTTACATTTTTCTTTATTAGAATTAAATTGCTCCCCCGTTTATGCCATTATTCTTGCAATAAACACATAAAGGGTATGTGTTTTTCCAAGTAGTAGACAATTCTTCAAGTTCTGATTTACCACAATACGTAATAACAAACATCGTATCATTTACGAAAAGCTGATCAGATAACATCGAAGAACTTTTACAAAGGGAAATATCATTGTAGTTTTGGAAAAGAAAAACCCTAAATCACGAGAAAATGCTGTGCTAGGATTCTAACGCTAAATTTCAATTGTACAAAAATTACACGTGATATTTAATCCTATTTGTTTAAGAAATTAAAGAGAGTCTTAAATTAGAAATTCAGAACATAAAGAACTTGATAATGAGGAACATATTCAAAAAGCATGCAAGTTAAACCTTTACTGCAAAATCAAATAAAAATCATATCGACATTACATATTAAAATTATATCGAATCTTTTTTTAGGCTCTACAAGTGTCAGTTTGTATGTTGCAAACGAAGGTAAACTTATATTTCGTTGATGTTGCAAAACAGATTTCAATTTTAGTATGCCACATGAAATCAAAGAAAATGAAGATATGTCGAGCGTCTTGGAAGAAAAACTATAGTACCTCCAATGATTTGAACATTGATTCTGTAATAATCGCGACGTTACCGTAGAGCACTGCCTACAGTATAGTACCCGCCCGAGTAAAGTACTCCATTCACCACCAATGAAATCGCAGAAAAAAATACAATAAAAAGCATAGTCGTGTCAACTGGCGTTTTGAGTTAACTCGTCTATATTTACATATTGATACAGAGTGTGCAAAGTAAACATAATGTCATCATCTTTACTTTCCTGATCTTAGTATAAATATAAAAAATGTTTTGCATATAAATTTAACTTAACTCTAACATTAACTTTAACCCTAACCTTAAAATCAACCTTTAATAGTTGTGAACCGAGCACAGATTATATTTATGCGTTTATTTAATTATATAACGTACGTATATCGGAATGGTTTATATTTTACGGTAGAATCACTGTATAATCATCTTTATTGGAAGCGAATTGGTTCCAGGAACAGTTATAGTAAATTTGCCTCAATAAACAGAATTTACTGATAAAGTGAATTTTTTACCACCTCGGTTTAACGAAGTTGACTGTAATCATCTAAAACAAGACGTTATAAATAATAGTGTGTGTCTGTCAAGATTGATATTACTTTTTAATGGCATTGGACAATAAAACAGATTATTTTGAATGGCTTTGATACACCATCCATCTACCAATTCATTTTATTCTATTCATTGGTACACATTTTCATTTTAATTTGTAATAAATTGCTTGTATGGTATTATAGCGCAGAAAATCATCCATATTTGTTAAATGTTTAGCCGAAGTCAGTACAATATTTTTCTTGCTTTATTTGCAAGAGTTTATGGATTATATTAAATACACACAAGAATAAGCTTTTCGCACTTTGCTCGAGCATTCGTTTTACATACAAAAAAGTGCATCTTCGACAATTATGCGATAGTAAAATGTAATTTAAAATTGCATGGTAAACAAAGTACGTAATAAGCACTCTAGTTTCAAGTAGCAAATACGACTTTAGCTAATGTATACTTCAAAAAAACGGTATGTATTAACGAACACAACTTCTTGAAACCTTTTGTCAACTGCAGGGGTCCATTATCAATAAGTAAAAATCATTAGTTTGCCTATGATCCTTTGAAATTTTGTTATAGGTAGTTTTTAGCGTTAGGTGCTACACTAACCACCAAAGTAAGAATGCATAACATATAAGCAACAATACATAATGACTATCGCTAGCACACTAAATTTCTACGTGGACAATACCCGTTCCACTTGTAATTCTTGTGTGCGGACCTACAATTTATAAAATTTTATCCAAATACGTAAATGAAGTATCAAATGCACCTCAATGATCATTCATTTAAATTATTTAAATTTTAACTAATAATGATGTCCATTTAAAGAATTAGCATGATTAACTTGATCTCGGGATTATTTAATTGCGAAATCCCGCGCTAAATTCATAAAAAATTTCGTTTCGATTTATCGACTACGATTTAGCGAGCACTAATTACATGTAATGTCTTACTTTAACATCACCCTTAAATCCTTTTCCATATAAAATCAGGCTCAATTTAACGAATTTCTTGAATAGAGTTTTTCAAGGTTTACCGACTCATCGTTAAATCGAGATCTAACTGTATTTGGTTTGAGGGAAAGTTAAATACAGTAAAACCTCTCTAACACTCCGCCTGTTTTTTACCACTTTACTGCGTATATAAACAAATGTTCCAATTTGGTAATTGTTGCCACTAGTTTTCATCGTGTCACAAGCGAAAAATGCAATTGATCTTTTATCCGGCAGCCGTAACCGAATAGTATTGTTTACGGATTATCTTTTCCCCGGAGAAACTGACTCCTGTGCATTTTTCATTTCTATAAAAATAAGCGTCTACGTTTTGGTGTTTTTGAAAACTTCACGCTATAATAATAATCTCTCTTCACGCGTTGAAGAATAGAATAAAACTTGTAGCATTTTTAATAATAATAACAATAACGATAATAATAAATAATAAAACTAATAATAATAACAAAAACAACAACAATAATAACAACAATACGAAATTATAAAATATGGCTACTAAGAATGAGCAGACGAGTGCAGATCAAAGATCAAGCGATATTACATTAGAAGAAACTAAAGATAATTCTAGTACAAATAGTTCTTCTAAAGCAACAACAACAACAGCATTACCGGAAATTGATTATAATATTGTTGATGCATTACCTCCACAAAAACCAATAGAGACAGAGAAAAAAGACACAAATGAGATAGATGAACACGATGAAAAAGGAAAGAAAAAATCAGCACCTGATCAAAAACCGATTACATTATCTCAATTATTTCGTTTTGCTACTTTCACCGATAAACTTTTAATGTTATTTGGAACTGTGGGTGCAGCAGGAAATGGAGCATCGGTTCCCTTAATGACTATTGTATTCGCGTCAATCATTCAAATATTTCTCGATTTTACCATAAAAGTACACGAAGATCCGAAGCGTGCAGAAGAGTTAAGAAATACGTTAAACGATGATCTCCGAAAAAATTTACTTTATTTTGTGGCACTTGCAGTTGGAGTATTTATACTGGCATATATGCAGTTGGCGTGTTGGATGCTTGCTGGTGAACGACAAGCAAAGGTAAATACTGTACTCATATTTTTTAATTATGTACATGTACTTATGAGCATATTTTTTATTAGACTATTCGTCAATTATACTTTGCGGCAGTTTTACGACAAGATATTGCATGGTTCGACTCAGTTGCTACAGGGGATGTTATTTCACGTATTTCCAGTGATGTTGAAGTAGTTCAGGATGGAATTTCAGAAAAATTAGCAGGAATTATTCAATATATGACTACATTTTTTGCAGCATTTATTATCGCGTTTTTCAAAGGTAAATAATTTTTTCGTTTACGCATTAAATTATATAACTTGCGTTAAATCGAAAATAATTTGCTTTTATGTCAATTTTTAGGATGGAAACTTGCATTAGTTTTATGTTGTATTTTACCATTACTTAGTGGTGCTGGCGTTTTCATGGCGAAAACATTATCCTCATTTTCTACTCGTGGACAAGGTAACAATAATAATAATATTATTATGGTGCCCATTAAATGATACTAATAAAATTATTTCGTAAATAGATGCTTACGCCGGTGCTGGCACGATAGCCGAACAAGTGCTTTCTAGTATTAAAACAATCGCAGCATTTGGTGGTCAAGAACGTGAAGCCGCACGTTACAAAAAAAAGCTTGATGCCGCTTATGAAATCGGAAAGAAACAAAGCATCGTACAAGGTATCGGAATCGGCACAATCATGTTTATTATATTCTCGACATATGGGTTGGCGTTCTTTTATGGGGCCAAACTTGTGGTCAACAAAGAAATGGATAGTGGACAGGTTGTTAATGTGTTCTTTGCAGTACTTATTGGCGGTATGTAGTAAAATTTAAATGATTTTGCGTGTAAATAGTTTTTTCTGACAATTTTTGTTTTCAAAAGCATTCGCGCTAGGAAATGCCGCACCAAATTTCGCTAATCTCGGTGCAGCCATAGGTGCAGCTACCAAATTATATGCTGTAATTGATCGCGTACCTGTTATTGACGTGACCTCTGATGCTGGCAAAAAACTCGATAAGTCATCGGTAAAAGGACGAATCGAATTCAAAAATATAAATTTCCATTATCCGTCACGCCCAGATGTGCCAGTTCTTAATAATTTCAATTTGACCATTGAACCTGGACAAACTGTCGCTCTAGTTGGCAGTTCTGGCAGTGGAAAATCAACTATTGTCAGTCTACTTGAACGTTTTTATAATCCCGTGAGTGGACAGATTATTTTGGATGGAGAGGAGCTTCAATCGATTAATATAAAATCACTACGAACACAAATTGGTCTCGTCGGTCAAGAACCTGTTCTTTTCCCTACAAGCGTAAAAGAAAATGTTGAATGGGGTGGTGCGAATGATGTAAAAAAGCCGACTTTAGAAGAGGTTATCGCGGCATGTAAAAAATCTAATGTCCACGAATTTATTAATCAATTACCAAACAAATATGATACATTAGTCGGTGAAAAAGGTGCTTTAATGTCTGGGGGCCAAAAACAAAGGTATTTATTATCATATCTCTAATCTCCTAAAATTGCACGTAATAACAAACTTAATATCATTTACAGAATTGCCATTGCACGTGCTTTAATAAAAGATCCAGCAATCCTTCTTCTTGATGAAGCTACTTCAGCTTTAGACACAGAATCCGAAGCCTTGGTACAAGAAGCGTTAGATGCCGCTGCAGTAAATCGTACCACAATAGTTATTGCTCATCGATTGTCTACCATAAAAAATGCTGATAAGATTGTCGTCATGTCCAAAGGAGAAATCATTGAAACAGGAACTCATGATGAATTAATTGCCCGGCAAGACATCTATTACGGTTTAGTCAGGGCTCAAGAATTAAAAACTCAGGGAGATAAACATGAAAAAGTTGAAGATGACGAGGATGACGAGGAAGATAGAAGCGAAAAGATTAGTATTGATGAAACAAGAGAAAAACTTGTAAAACGAATAACAACAAAAGCTTCATCGATTCATTCAGTGGAGGAAATCAAAGCTGAAGAGGAAAAGTTTAGCAAATTACCAACACCATGGCTTCGAGTTGCTAAATTGAGTCGATCTGAAATTGGGTTTATGTTTATCGGCTCTTTCGGAGCAGGTGTAATGGGTACTGTCATGCCATTGTTCGCTATAATTTATTCGACTATTTTAGAAATTTTCTCGAAAACCGAGTAATTATGACTTTCATTTTTTTTTTGAGCTGCTGAATAATAATAATAATTTGATTATTTACTTACTCTGACTCTGTCTCTATCTTGTACTTAAAGTCCAGATGAATTAAGGCGCGAGGCAAACTTTTGGGCTGGAATGTTTGTAGTACTTGCTTGTGCTGCATTTTTTGGTTTCTTTTGTAAAATTTGCTTTTTCAGTAAGTAGAAGAATTCGGTATTTCTTTTTGAAAATGAATTTGTATGCTGACAATGTTTTGCATTCTATAGCAATTACGGGATACAGAATTACTACAAAAATAAGAGATATAACATTCCGGGCACTTTTAAGACAGGATATGGCATTTTTTGATGATGAAAAAAATTCAACGGGATCTTTAACTTCGAAATTAGCAACTGAAGGTAAGAAAACGATATGATGCATCATCGTTCATAATAGGAATATTAACGCGCGTTAATATTAATTTTGTTAATGTCAGCTACACAAATCCAAGGATTAGTCACTATTTGTGGAACAATTGTGCAAACAATAAGCGCTTTGGTTGCGGGATTGGTAATTGTTATATTTTTATTTTTATTATTAAGTTTTTTTTATTGATTTTACTAATATTCTGAATTTATGTAGCTGATTTCTTTTATTAATGGATGGAAATTGGCATTGGTCGTATTTGCAGCATCGCCTTTATTGGTAATTGCTGCTTACCTTGAAATGAAAGCTCATGCAGGTTTCGGGGCAAAGGTAAGAATTGATTTTGTCAAATTTTATCGATCCTCACTTCGTTAAATATATTAAACCTTTATTTTTTAAAGACGGCCAAAGCTTACGAAACTTCCGGTAAAGTTGTCCAACAAAGTGTTTCAAATATGCGAACAATTGTAGCATTGAATCGTGAGGAAACATTCAAAGCAGTTTATAAAGATTCTATTGTCGGGCCACATAAAGCGGCTGTTCGTGGTATTTTAATTGCTTCCAACGGATTTGGCGCGTCACATAGTCTTCAATTTGGTGTTTGGGCTTTGGCATTTTGGTACGGTGGAAAATTATTAGGTGATCAAGAATACGAGTTGAAACAGATGCTTACTGTGTTATTTGCCATTGTGTTTACTGCTCAACATCTTGGACAAATGAGGTAATTATGATTTACCGATTAACTGATTGATTGATGGTTTGATTAAAACAAACATATTCTTTTTTCTTTAGTATGTTTGCTCCTAATACAGCTAAAGCGAAAATCGCCGCAATTGGCATTTTCAAATTGCTTGATCGAAGATCACCAATTGATCCAACTGAGACTGAAGGAAAAATAAGACCAGTCCCGGTATCTGGTGAATGCGACATGTCTAATGTTAAATTCAGATATCCGGCACGACAAAATGTCAGAGTTCTAAGAGGTCTTGATGCTGAAATTCTCGCCGGAAAGAGTGTTGCATTCGTCGGTCCATCTGGTTGTGGTAAATCTACTATTATCTCTTTGTTGCTTCGATATTATGATGTAGAGTCTGGCGCCGTAAATGCTGAGCATACAAACGTCCAGGATTGGAATCTTGAATATTTGAGATCGAATATGGCGTTAGTCGGTCAAGAGCCAGTTCTCTTTGATTTAACTATTGGCGAGAATATTGCATATGGAAAAGAAGGATGTTCACAAGAAGAGATTATCGAATCGGCAAAACGAGCAAATATTCATAATTTTACTACAAGTTTACCAGAAGGATATGATACGCCTGTTGGGGATAAAGGGACTCAATTGAGTGGTGGACAGAAACAGGTAAAATATTTATTATCTATACGCGTATATTTTTTTATTTTCAAAATTATTTTAATAAATATATGCTAATTTTGTTTAATATCGATATCAAATAGCGCGTCGCAATAGCACGAGCATTAATTCGAAATCCGAAACTATTATTATTGGACGAAGCAACATCAGCACTCGACTCCGAATCCGAAAAAGTCGTACAAAACGCACTAGATCGCGCCTCAACAGGTCGAACTACTATAACAATAGCGCATCGTTTATCGACGATACAAAATTGTGATCTGATTTTTGTGTTTAGAAGAGGAAAAGTGGTAGAATCAGGGAAACATTTGGATTTGATTGCTCAACGTGGACTTTATTATGAATTAGTCACACGGCAGACATTAACTAAAGGGAATGAGGATATGTAATTTTTTGTTTCTAATAGTCACACGACAGAAGTAATGAGGATATTTTATAACGATAATAACTCTTAATGGTAAATTTTACAAAAAAAAAATTAAAATTATACGTGTATATACCCTAATAGTATTTAAGTAGTGTTATTAACCCTAACGTTAATTCACGGCTAACAACTTATCGTTATCATGTGGAAATTTAACGTTAACTTCATCGTGTATCGGTATTTGTGAGTTACCCCATTAAGTTAATTATAGAACCAAAAAGTGTGTTTGAAACAGCAATAAACACGTGTAAAACGTGTTTATTAAAATTTAGAACGACACAAATAAATGATCAATATTAAAACTACGTGTTGAATTTTTTGTGCAACTTTAGCCAATTTTGGTCTTTGAAATAAACTACGAAATCACTTATTGTTTTTAAGTCAGGGATCTTTATCAAATTATCCAATATTAGCCGATGCCGTCTTTTCTGCCGCTTCTTATCGTTGTATTTAAACCATTTGCATAATTGATCATGTAATTCAATCTAAATGAAATTGACAATGGTGGTGATAGATGGTCAAATGTTTATTTATACATGTAATTAGAGAAAATAGGGTAATAAATGTTTTGTTTAGGGTTGGGGTATTATAATCACCGCTTTGTTATATTTAGAAAAATAGGACATTTATAAATTGTTCATTGTTAGTATTAGAGAACGAGTGTAAATGTGAATCCACAAAATTTCTTTTTTCGCTTGATTTCTATTTTTCAATATTAATATACTTGTATATAACATTTAAAAAAGATGGGCAACGGTATTTCTAAATCTAAAAAAACAGGAACTATCAATACTAACCACAACCACAACCACAACCACAACCACAACCACAACCACAACAACGACGACGACGACAACCACCACCACAATAATAATAATAATAATAATAATAATAACAATAATAATAACAATAATAATAATAATAATAATAATAATAATAATAATAATAATAATAATAATAATAATAATAATAATAATAATAATAACAATAATAATGATAATGATAATGGTGGTAGAGTTGGTAGGAGAAATCGTCTCTTTAAATTGCCCAAACCTAAAAAGAAAACCACAAATACTCCTCAATTCACTTCCACACTTCCATCATCAATCAACCGTAAAAAACCAAAAAAAAAACCAAAAAAAAATCGTTTTATATTTTGTAGATTTGTAAGGATTCGACGTCAGAAGCAAAGCGCAGAAATGGTTCAGAAAACTCTAATGAAATTAAAAAAACAACCTTATTCACAATATTCACATCAACAGACACAACGTCAATATTCTGGATCACAGAAATTTATTAGTACTCAATCTTTGAGATCTCGTCAATCTGGCATATTGCTTCCACAACAAGAGCAGTCGAGCAGACGTGTATCACAAGACTTTCTACTCAATATGAATTCATCAGATCTTCAATCATCTTCCAAACAAGAATTTGTTGCGCCTAGAAATTCTTTTATAATGGCACAAACTGCAGTTCAACTTTCTCATCGCAGTTCAGGAACAATATCACAATCTCCAATGTCAGCTGCTCCTATAATGACCACATCTCTAAATCGCACATCACAAGAATTCGAATTTATTCCACCTAGAAATTCAGTAACAGCAAAGGCATCTACAAAATTGCATCCCACCCGAAATAATTCAGTTATGATGACTCCTACTGGACCACAACCATTACATCGTTTATCTCAAGATAATACTTCCTTGTCGAGACGGAATTCAGGGGTGATGACTCCGGGAGGAATAAAATTTAAATTCGTGGATTTTGACATTACAGAAACAAAGGATGAAAACATATTTCCAAATGGAATAAAAATTGAGAAATCTCAATATCAACATTATGCAGTAAAGTTTTTATGGAGAGGAAACTTTCTGGCGCCAGTGAGAGAATTAATGACTCGAGGGATTATGGTTTTAGATATTGGGTATATATCAATCAGAGAATGGATTCGTTGCTTTATTTCGCTGTATCGGTATGATCAATGAGCTAATAAACTATTAATACTGAATAGCTGTGGAGATGCAAATTGGATTTTCGATATGGCCAAAGATTACCCCAACTCACAATTTATCGGTGTCGATACACAATCAGATTTAACATGGAAAACGAATCTGACGAATGTTTATTTTAACGAATTTGACATCTTAAAACATGGATTACCGTAAGTAATAATTCAACATCATCAATATATTTTATAGTAAAACGTATTTAGATATTTATATATATATATTAATTCTAGATACAAAGATGGTTGTTTTGATTACGTTCACGGTAGATTCCTTGGAACTCTATTCACCGAAAGAGAATATCGCAAGAAAGTAATAGAAGAGTCTATCCGTGTCACTAAACCTGGAGGAACGATTGAATTGCTCGAATCTGATTTTCGATGGACTAATGAAGGACCCGCGCTAAGAAAATTGCTTGATGGATGTAAGCTATTGTATATTTATGTATTTTATTAAATCAAAGAAAAAACCTAATTTTATGCAATAATCATTAGACCGAGAAATGTTAGAGTCAAAAGACATTAATCCCCATCTCAGTCCAAATATTGGCAGATATTTGCGAGATACTGGTAACGTGATACACATACAAACTGAGACGAGATTATTACCTCTTGGAAGATGGGGTGGTCGTCTTGGTGAAATTGTAAGTTAGTTTGACTTCTTTTATTCTTTCAATTGATGTAGATTAATTTTGTAATATCATTAAAAAAGGCAAGCGAGGCAGTTAAAGATGGTTTAGAAGACGCCAAAATTTCGTTATCCCAATCAACGTCTATGTCATCAACCGAATATAACTTACTTTGTATGGAAGCAATTTTGGAATTCGACGAATATAATGTTTCAATGCCCACAGTTCGATGGTATTGTACCAAACGACAGCCTAAACGTACTTCATTGTTTGTTTATTTTTAAATGGAATTGTTAATAGATGTGCGTTGAAGCAAAAAATTAGAATTATGAAAAAATATATATATATATATAGCACTAATTTGTATATAAACAGCAATAAGCGTAAGTTACTAAAATGTAAAATATTTCGTTATTTTAAAATTTTTCGCTTAGAGAGCTGTCAGATATTACGTAATTATCAAAGGGGGGAGGTCTCAAAAATCTCACCTTCCATGTGATTTACATGTGACCAAAAATGATTAGCCAATTAAATATAATAAAAATCTCACCAAGGGGGGGGGGGGGTCAGCTCTATAGTAACGCAATATTACGTAATATCTGACAGTTCCCTTATCGTTATTGAATATGTCGTATTGTTAAAATTAGATAACAATCTAGTGTTGTGTTGGTCTAGTCCCAAATTATTGGACTGGACCATTGGACTTGGTCCAGTTCATTTGTGATTTACAAATTCAGGTGATTTGCAATAGAAACGGTGTAAAGTACTGTATATTATACAATTTGCACCGTTTCTATTGCACTCAGCCCATATATTAAATACTATTTTTGATTGTTGGTTGGTCCAATAAATTGGATTGGACAATCTGGTCCAAGTAGCTCCAGTCGACCATTTCAGTCCGTTTCCCAACATTGAATGATTCATCAATAGATTGCATGTTATAAACGTCCTTACTAACGCTAAGTAAATATAAAATTTAATCTGTGAGTATTAAATTTTGTATTTGCTTCTTAGTAAATTAGTAGATTATTGAAAGAACCCGAGGATGTTTCTAATAATATAATGCAATTGTTAAAATGAGCTTTAGAGATTGGAACTGGATAAAGCATTAGCTCAACTGCGTATTAGTAGTCGTTTTGTTAAACGCGCGGGAAACATTTCACACGCATATATTATGATCGATACAAAGAAAATATGTAATAAGTAAATATTTAACTGTGTCAATCAATAATTTCTCACATCAGTTAATCCATATACCTGAGACTCACTTTAAGTCAGCAATAGTGTTCAGGCTAATTACCGTGTAAAAATTAAAAACACAGTAATTCTCACAAGAAATGGGACACGCGATCAAACTTTTTATCTCCATCAATATTAATCCCAACAAAACATCAACCATTTTGCAAAATTAAGTAATTTAAGTCAACTTTTTCAATTAGTAAATTTTGACCTACAGATCTTTAAGATAAAAACCAAATTTGGAAAATGTTTTACTAATTTCATAAAAATTTATCTAGCTTTAACCTTAAGACCCCGAAGTTCAAAATCTCTGGAAGTAAATAATAGTCGAATTAATGCTATTCAGACCTTCGGGATCTCAAATCTCGTTGAATTTTAAGCTGATTTTATGAAAATTGGTACATAGGCGGATTCAATATTGTAAACTTAGAATTTGTCTGAGAAAAAAAGTTGTTCAATTTGATTTAAATCACTCAGTTTCACAAAAATGGTTAAAGTAATCTATTGTCAAATTATTTTAAAAATTGCTAGAGGTTTCGAAGTTTAAAATGAATACCTGTTTATTTTGTTTGGATTAATATCGACAGATCAAAATTTTGATCGTGTGTTCCATTCCTTGTGAAAATTTTTAAATTTTATTAATTTCTGTTTTGTACCTTAAAGTCAATTTTACATTTGATGGGTTATCATGAGCCCCACCATAGTAAACATTTTTTTTGAGAGACTGGACAAAGAAATAATTGTGTTATCTTCGTCAATTTTGTCTAAAAATCTTCGGGAAGTAATAGTTTAATCTTATCAACAATAAATTTTTGTCGAAATCGTTTTTATCCAATTAATTCGATGGATACAGCATTATAAATGATTTCATTTATGCAATTACGTAACTAGCAGATAAAAAAATGAAATTTAAAATCGTATACGTATAACATCTCTATATTTTAATTATGTGTTCGATTATTTTTCAAAACCTTAATTTGGTCACTGTTTATAGGTTAGGTTTTTAGAGTGATTGGAATAAATTTTCTGTAGAAAACAATAACGTAATATTATTGCTTATTAGATAAGCATTACTGAATTTTCGGGAAACTTATTACATGTAACTTTAAAATATTGTCGTGCTGCATCAATAAGAAATTTTTTGGATGTTCCTCGGACATTTGTTTCGGCCGTAATTTTAAACACATATAATGATATCATAATTTTTTACAACTTGCTGGAAGATTTTTTTAATTGGAGAAAGTTCTTCAACTTGGTTTTGGATGCAGAAGCATCATCATGTTAGTTAATCATGTACTATATTACGTAAAAACGTCAAACAATGACGAATGATACAAAAATCTATGAATCACAAATTCTAATTCAGCTTCAATCTTAATCCTCGCGTGTCATGTTAACAGCTGCAAATATATTAATCGCTTCGTTATACATGTAATGTAGATTTATATACAGTATACCGATACAATATATCGATGTACGTAACGGCAAATATAAATGTATCGGTACATTTGCTTGTGTGAATCTAAAATTCTTAGTAATTTATTACGTACGTATATATTTAAAAGTGTGAGAAAATGGCGTAATTGCATAAAAACGAAAAACTATATTATTGACCGAATATGTGTTCACGATATTCAAACTGACGCCATATGCTTAACGGAAATGACACTGAAAAAGCTATATAAAATATGCAGCTGAAATGTATAATATACATAATGTTGTAATATTGTTCTTTCAATGGCAAAAATGAAGCAAGCGTGTAATGCTGCTGCTAGATACATGTAATGACCAAGTCGATTTCTTTTTTATTCGTTTTTATCTTCGACGATCTTTGCTAAAAATCCACAAATTATTCGAGTGTCGCATAATGTTTTTCACACTCTTTACACAGGCTTTTCTTTTCCGAATTTCTACAAGGCGCGCGCCATTAATTTTCATCGATAAACTCTTATCTTTAAAAAGAACAATTTATATCGTTGTATTTGATTCGCCAAAGAGACAGGGGCCAAAATGCATATCGATACGATATAATAAATTTTCTGAAAGTTCAATCTTTTTATTGATTTTCATTTGGTACGGACGTAATCTCCATACGGAAACTTGAGATCGAGCTTGTGTTTACAGGAAAAAAATGATGCAATTGTATTCTTTTAGATGTATTTCTATGAATTATTTCATTATTGTTGTTCTCATTGTTGTGAGTTTTGATGTAACTCCTGCGTGTCATTTGTGTGATTACCAATGGGCGGACAGCTCCAAACTGGAATTTATTTTTCACGGTGATAATTATAGCAAAGCATTGATATACTATTGCTAATCGAGATTAAAGTCTCTTAGATTTACCCGAATAAAGTTAGCATTTTTCTGACTTTTCCGGTATTTTTCACCAAAATTTCTTGTTGGTCCTGACCTTTAAATGAGGTGACACATAGTCAGTGCAAGGTATCACAACAATTTTAACAATTATCATTAGATTGCGTATTATTATTCGCATTAATTTTTATGTCGAATTTCATTAGTGTGCAAATTATACACAACATAAAAATGAAGTACAAAAACTATATACGTATTGTAAACCATCATGATCTGGATTAGACCAATTGGAATTGTGATCAATTATTCAATCTCGACAAGCTATATATATATATATTATATATATAGCGTCCTAATAATAATATCCTCGTCCTTTCTAAGAAGAAAATCGGGGATCATGATGAAATATAGAGCTTTAGATTTTTTTGTCTTTCTTCCTCTTAATCGACTCCTGTCATTCTTTTGATTACCAAATTGTCGGTTTTCACATGAGCCCAATTAAACGACCCGAAAAACGACACTAACGTGAAAAATTTCCCCGAGAGGAAATTTCGGATACTGCTTTTATTTGGTTGCAGTTTTCAATAGAGTGAGTAATATATTTACAGCGGGAAATGCTTGTTTACCGTGTGCAAGACCTAAATATTTAACTTTTTTCATCCTAAAACAAACAATTGACAATCAGGCACTGCTTTTTACTTCAAATGGCGGAATTTTTATGAAAAGCGAGTTGCAGAAAACAAAGCAGCCGTACGTATTGCTTTTCGATAATCATATGAACGAAAACCCGTGATCTGCATTCTGAATGTTTAAGTTTTTCTCTCTTGGAGCAAAATTCCTACCCGTATTTAAAAAATAATCTATGCATTTAATGTTGGTTTGGCTATAAAAATTCGATGAGAAATGACTTCATCGTCGAAAACATTTAAGATTTTGGTTACATTTGACTTTTTTGGTTGTCAAAATTAAGCTTTTTATCCTATGGTTTATTAAATTCCACACATAACAAAAAAATCGGCTAAATTTTCGGTTAATTCTAGAAAATAAAATGCAAAGTATTGGGTGTGTAGCATAATAATTTCTTTCTCGACTCTTCGATCGTAATGTGCGCTTTAATTAGAACGTCATATTTCGTTTTTTTCTATTGTAACTTTTAATTTTCTTTTCTTATTCTTTAAATCAATCAATAAATATAAATATCGAGTCTATTCTTTTTTAACACACAATTCTTGATAAAATTGCTGTTCGAGATTACGGTTTGTTAGACAATAACGGTAAACAACAACAAACTTTTACTAATCAGGGTAAGTTACTTTACAAGAACGAAGATCAATTGAGGGGTCTGTGCAATTCACGCGCTTCAGGGATAAAACAAACTCGATTATGTTTTTGTTTATTTTTCCTCGTTAGTACAAAAAGTAATAACTTTTTTCGATAACATAATCAATAATGGATGACGATATATTCGTCATATCCATATTTGCCAATCGAATATTTGTGTTTTAAAAATTGTCTTGTTCTCTAAATTATCCTAGTACATGTAGAATTTCCTTATCTACAGTATAAACACGTGATATATAGAACAATTGCTGCAAAGTACACCGGGTACTACGTATATGCAGTGCACGAGACATTATCGTTATATGAAATTGCAATATTATACATTGACCCAGAATACGTGATTAGTAATGACAAACATACATATATACGTACGTATGTACGTAACATCATTTCCCTCCAACACAAAACTTTCCGCACGTTGACAGGTGACAAATCAGTGTCATCTACCGTCTCTGAATCACATAACTGTGCGCACCGTAAATAATTGTTAGAATTTTTGGATTATGTTTTTATAATGACATAAATTTTTTTCTTCAATTTCTGTTGCATTTTTTTCTTTAAAATAAAACATTCTCATTATTTATGGCGCGCACTGTATGTTAAAAATCTACATCTTTTTTTACAAGTAATCAACGAGATGTAATAAAATGAAGATGGCAATATACACATTCTGATAATAACCCAGTGCTTGTTGGAAAGGTGGACTTCTTTCCTTTAATTATTTGTAAATTTGATTAGAAAGAGCCTACTTTATTTCATGTATACCTCGTTACTATTGGAACTTTGTATTCATAAATTTTTCAAAAATAAAAATATGCGAATAAAATATACACTAATTCTTGTTAATAATAAAATGATAGCGATATAATTTTAATAATAATCATAATAATTAAGTAAAATCTTCATCAAATTGGAATTTTTATGTATTGCAGCACCAAACTCTATATTTAAGATGCAAACAGTTTATGCCGAGTTTAGTGACAAGTTGATACAGTATTGAAAATAAGCAAATACAGAACTAATGTTTTAGAGATGCTTTCAGTGCAGGAGTTGGAAATACAAGGAAAAGTAAATATGTACAACTATAGAAGAAAAATTTCCCATCTTAATTCATACTCGATTTTTATAGGAAGTAGGTGGCACTGTTTCAAGATGACAATGCTCTCTGGTGATGTAATAAATTGGATAAAACAAGAAAGAAAACATCTTTCTTTGAAAATGCATTGTATTGAGAATGAACAATGATTGCCTAAAAGGATGGCTGCATGTACGAATATTAAAAATTTTTATGGTTATAATACTTTGTAGATAGTATTGTATATCAAATCATAATATTTGATTTCTAAATTAAGACTTTCTCAACTACAAATTTTTAATTAAGATTGAAATTTCGATTCGAATCAAAATTCCAGGAAAACATTGACTCGGATTTTATAATATTTCGAGCCTCCTGCATTTTATCATAACTGTTATTGGAAGAATGCACCCCTTCTTTTAATAAAAGGCGTCATTGTCGAAGTGCTACAAAGGAAAAATTTTACGACGATCTACACTATTTTTGTTATTCATTCAATCATTTATGGTGATGCCGAAAAGAAATTTTTTTGCAAATTCATATTGGATGAAATTCAAATATTTAACAATTTAAGTTTGTTATAAGTTTTTTCAAAATTTTTCAAACAACGAAGGATTAAATGAGCACAGCGCATATCTTCTATATTAATTAGGTAATTAATTAATACAGTACATACCCCCTCGTTTGATCAAACGCGCGTTTCTAAATTTGATGCTGTTACCAACTCCTCAACATGCTCAAATCCAAATATCTACTACAGTAACATGTTTCTGGATTGGTTCTTCCAACCTTTTCAATTCATACCCTCAATTTTTCAATTAGATGCTCGTCTGCTTCTTTAGTTATAATCAAAACTTCTTTTTCCTCTCCGCTGAAAATTTTATCTGCCCTAACCAATATCTATGGCTCAGGTCTCATTCTAAAATAAGAGTTCCTTTTACTGGTTTTTGGTCGTAAGCCATTACATATTTTAATGGCTAAATTTAATTATCATTACAGATGCAGAAACATTTGATACAAATGACCTTGGAGCACCTAAAAAGTCTTTGGTATTATTATCGAAGCGAACATATAATCCGATGTGAGATATATTACCAGGATGTAAATTATCATGATCATTCCAATTGTATGAAAGGACGAAGGAGTCATGCAATCTCGACCAAGAGACACTTTTTGTGAGTTTTTTCATGGAAGGGCAATGTGCAATGCTTATTATTAAAACGGTTTGTGATTGAATGTTGCGGTAGGCTGTAGTCAGCAATTGGCGAGATATTTCAAATTTGAAATTATTAGAATATGCAGTACGTGGCTGTAAACATTTGTGGTTCATCTACACCGGCCTGCCGAAAGTACGTATTGGGTCGTCGCGCCGATTGTAGCACAATGAATGCGTCTACTGTGAATTTACTAATTTCCCCAAGTTCTGATTGGACACAAGTAATTTCCATCGCTGATTTGTTGACTGCACACCGGGTCTTATAAATCAACCAATAAAGATGCATAAATTTTTGATCGACCCAGAAAACAAATCCGATACAAGAAAATTAAAAAGACGAATAATGTGAAAAATACGGAAAACGAATGCTTAAACCTGGCTTGAAGCACTAATATAAAATGTCGTGGAGACAATTTTACATTAATATTTTCTCCAATCCTAACCCTAACACTTAATTCTAACGCTAAAATTAACCTTTAATATCTTCAACCAATCAGAACTGGGGATTAGTAAATTCTATACAACCAAACTCGGATCTTTTTATATATTAGATTCATCTTTCAAAAAACTGAAACTTACAGATTCCTATTCGAAAGGCAATAAAACAATAAAAGTAAAAATATCAAGTTTAATACCACGGAGCCATGTCTCCATGCTTTATGAATGAATAGAAGAAATTAATATAAATTGACAAAGAAAATATTTTGTAAAAATAAACTTTATATAAAGTTATTTGTAAATTTTCTTAGAAATATCAGCGAACTTATTTGATGTTATAACATTTTGATTAAAATAATCTATATTTTGAACCCATACCCTAATACAATACAGTACAAGGAAATAGTACAGAGCAGCAGGATAGTAGTTTTCTCGATGTGGGGATGCATATGCAAATTAAAAAAAAATAGTTTCAAGGATAAGAAAACAGCATGAAAATTCTAACCAACAATTCGACAGATTTACATATAGGCTTATATGGTTATATATCTATTTCTAAAAAAAATAATCAGGCAAAAATCTGATTTTTTTAGTTGCAGAAAACACAGGTTTAGTTATAAAATTTTCGGATTAAAATTATGATATTTTTACAATTAATTTTTTGGACCATTTAAACTCTGTTTAATTTTTGGAACCAAAATGGAACAAGTCAAATAATTGACATTTTAAGTGTGTTATTTGCTAGATAATTTATTATAATTATCAGTAAAATAACAAAATATAACTTGTAATTGACCAATCAAATTTGATTTAATAATTACAGTTCATATTATTTGTATTATATGAAAATAATGAATTTTAAATGAATACTAGTCAAAAATAAGTGGATATTTTTTTAAAAAGAAACTATTATTTTGTAACTAGATCTATTTACTACAAAATAGTAATTTTTTTGTGTGATCTTGTATAAAAATTCTTTGTCTTTTAAAAATGACTAATTTTATTGATATTTTTAAGTATTTTATATTGTAAAAGTGATTTTTATAATTCTTGTTATAAGTAATTGATATTTAATAATTTTTCAAAATTATATAATTCTCTGAAATTTTCAAACACAAAAAATATTACAAATACTGATTATTAATAATTTTTATAAATTAATAAAGCTTTTATATTGGATATTATATATTTATATTCTAAATACAATAAAATATTCACTTTAGAATATAATATCTCAAATAAATTTATTAAAAATTGATTATCAAAAAAATAAATTTTCTATAGTCAAATTTCTTTATAATAATATAATATATACTGAAGTTAGCTTTTACTTAACTAAAATTAAAAAACTAATTTTTTATTATATAAAATTTCTAATATACTGAAATTTTCTAATACATATATTATATATTGAATTGATTCTGATAAAATTAAAATTTTTTACTAATATTCCAAATGTTAATTACTATATATTTTATATTGATTATAACTTGATTGATTAATAAATATTAATTTATTTATAATAATAATAAAATTTATTTATTATTTTATTTAATTTAAATTTAATTATTTTATTTATTTATAAATATTATTTTATCTTATTTATTATATTAAATTGAAAATTACTGTAAAATTATTAATTCATCTTTGGTAATCTTGAAATTATTCTTATTTTTAATATAAATTATATTATATTAATTAATATGAATTTTAAAATATAATATTTTTTTTGTTTAAAAAACTATTATCTATAAAAAATATCAATTAATTACAATTTAAAAAAAAATTGATTTTAAAAAAACAAAAATTTAGAGCTTGTTGTTAAATTTAATTATAAAAATTTATAATTATTAATATTCGAAATAATTAGACAAATAATTAATTATTATATTTAATTCTCAAAAAATAAATAATATTAAAAATTATAACTCTAATAATTTTAGTATAATATTGTACTTGCTATTTAAATACAAAATATTACATTAAATAATCAAAATTTAATAAATAATATTATTAAAACAAAGATTAAATACTTTGCAAAATTTCTTTAAATTAATAATCTCAAAATATTAAATAATTAACTAATTCGATTTAAAGAGCAATATTATTTTTATTAATATATAAAGCAAAATAAAATTGCTAATATACTATTTATTAAAATATTAGTTCAAAGTAAATATAAACTTTAAAAAATTTTTTGATTATATTATTTTGAAAATATTTTTAATATTAATAAATTTAAATTTTTTAAAATAATTTCTAATAAAACATTTATACAAAAATCTTTTTTTAATACTAAAAAAATAAAGTATATATAATAATCTTTTGTTATTAATATTATTGAAATTGAGAAATATATATTTTTTATTCATTATTTTAAGTTTTTTATTGTATAAAGTTAATTACTTTTTATTTTTTATTATTAAATTAACAAAATATGAACAAAAATTAATATTTTTATTAATTAATATATTTAATTAAACTTTATTTAATACTATTTTAATTATTATTTTTTAAATATTTATTTTTACAAAAATTAATATTAAAATATATTTATAAAATTAACAAATTATTATTTAATTGATAATATTTTGTTTATTATTCTAATAATTTTTATTAAAATTTGTGTTAAATTTTATTTTTTAATATAATTATATATTTGTAATTAATATTATTAATTTATTTAAATATTAATATAAAAATTTTTTTTTCAAAATCAAATTAAAATTTTTAATATTATTTAAAATAGTTTTTTAATTATTATATTTGTATAATTTTGTTATTAAGAACTGATAAATCTTCAGCTAACTTTAATATTTTTTATATTATTTATATAATTACTAATACCAAAACAAAATAAATATTTCTATAAAGACTCTTCTTAATTATTAAAAAACTAGTATTTTTTCTTTTACTAATTAACTAATTCAAAAAATTAATATAAAAATAATTAAAATAACAAGAAAATAATACAAAAAATAAATTTAATACATTAATTAATCATTTTTTTATTTGATAATTTAATTAATATAAAAAATAATATGATATTTACTAAATATTTTTTATATAAGTAATTTATTTTTTACTTGTTTTTTTATTATAATTTTTATATAATACTTAATAATTATTTTTTATTTCTTTATTAGAATTCTTATATAATAATATTATTATTATTATATTTATTTTTAAAAATTTTTAATCAACTAATATTCAAAAAATAATAAAAAACTAAAAATTTCTAAAAATAATAGCAAAATAACAAATATTTAAAAATAATTTATTTATATTAATTATTTAATAATTATATAGTTATATTATAATTTATTATTTTTTAGTTTAATAATTATTAATTCAAAATATCTTTTCTATCTTTTTTATATTTTTTATCTTTTCTATATTTCTACCTTTTTTATTTTTTATTTTTTTTATCTTTTCTATTTTTTTATAATATTTTGTAATATAAATAGTATTAAAATATATTAAAATTTTTTGTATAAATAAAAATATTATTTTAATATACTCTTTTTAATACTTTAAATAAATTAATAAATTGCTACTTTTATTTTAACAAGTTAACTAATTATATTTTATTATTGTATAGTTAATATTTATTTTTATTTTATTTTCTTAAATAAATTACTTAGCTAAAATAATTTGTTAATTAAACTTCAAATCTTATTATTTAAATTGTTTTTTATAAATCTTGAGTGAAAATATTAATTTAAGTTTAAGAAATTGAATTTTTTGATTATTTTATTTATTAAATCTTTAAACTTTGAAAAAATAAAATATAATTTTGAATTAAATATTTATAATATTTAATTTTAATATAGTATTTTATTTTCTTGTTAATATTAAAAATACTAAAATATATTTTTCTATTAATCAATTATTTTCTGCAAAATTACTTAGAGCTTTCATTTTTGTGCAAATCAAAATTTATATTTTTTTGATTTATACTTTGATATTTTCTGATAATTAAAATTTATAATATATAAAATATATATTAAACAATTAGCAAATTTCATCTTTATTAAAATTAATTCTAATTGTAATTAATTTCTCACAGCCAAATTTTTTAATTACAGATCTTGCTTTATATTTAATTGGTTAATCTTTTAATCACGATTTTTTTATTGGTTACAACAAAAATAATATATTATATCAATTATTCAATAATATTCAGAAAGTCTCTCCAAAGAATCAAAAAGATCATTAAAAATATGTTAATAAATTTCTTTTTTATCAAATATAGTTTAATCATTAATTAAAGATATTTATTTTTTCTCCAATAAGATCAAAATCTAATATAACTTTCACAAAAAACTTAATAATTCTATTTTCAGCTTTAGAATTACTAAATTTTGTAATTATTATATTATCCAGATTTTCAATTTCATACAATAATTTATTATATTTATTCTTTACTGAATTATTAATAATATTATTTTTCACATTATTAATAAAAGATACTATTTTATTAGAAGATTCATATCAACTTTTACACTTTTTTTCAGTGCAAGCATTATATATGAAAAAGATTTTTGTTTGACTTACTTTTGCTCAAGTAAATTTCATAATTTATTTATTATAGCAATATTGAATATCTAATCTTTTTTCTTTAATATTACCAATAGTTAAAAAAGTATTTGACAAGTAGGAATTTTTTGTTATAAGCTAATTTTGATTTGTTTTTAGAGTTTAGAACTTTGTAAGTTTATAAAA